GCGACATTTCAGCTCATACTGAAAGATTCGTAAACAAAATGCGCCTCCACAGGAGATCATGTCGCCTCATGACACCGCGAGCCAATCAAGAAACAGGATCCCGTGGCGTCAACTACAATGGAACAGAATTTTCCGGGAAAAGTATTGCACTGCAGCGCAGTAATCGCGTTTTACATTTCGCTGTGGCATACGTTCAACTGAAAGAGCATTTATCCGCAAAATGAGGAAAGTAGCCAAAGGCAAAGTTAAATACCGCGGCAAAAATGGTCAGGCCTAATAACAGAAATGAGATATCTTGCGTAGGTTTATCATGATTTGAGAATTACGAGACGAGGCGATCGTTCGTGTTTTATATCAAGACAAATACACAAGACTTTAAATGAAAGGAAACCACAATTTTAATCTTATGTCTGATAAATTTCGGTTTGACTCGGCCAGCGAGCTGTCGTTTTGATCGACAATGTTCCAGCATTTGGCGTCGCTCGTTTCGAATTGTTGGCCAAACCAAGATCCTTTATCGCTTTCAATTCCGCTAGGTTTGTTTTCCTTTCTTGAGTATTAAAACTCGTTCTTATTTTTCAGCCTTGCTTTTTTCAAGGATTTTTTTTTTCAGTTTTAGACTTGTCCATTTGAGCGCATAGCGCAGCTTCTTCGTGAGATAAATACAAGCTCTCGGATAAAGCCCTTCCCAGAGGTGTCCGCGCATTTTAGAGATTATGACACCTTTGTGAATTATTAATTTCTATAATAAAAATAGTTTTCCCTACATAACTCGCGCGCTTTTCAATATTTTTTTTTAAGTTTCTGTAAATGTTAGGGAAAATACGCAACTTCGATTTAGTCAAATAAAAAGAACATTGATTTTTTTTCACTCTCGAAGGTGGGAAACATCCTTAAGCCTGGTTTCCATATGATCGCAACGCTTTAAACTAAAACAACAACTATTCTCCTTGGTCTGTTATAATTATTTATCCCTACCTCAAGACACGAGAGACCATAAATTTACCATTTGTATTAATTTGAAGCATTTGTACGAGTTGATCAATTTCATACTTCGGCCTTTTCAAAACAGACACGAGATCGCATCACTAATGCAAACAGCTCTGTATGTTATCGACTTTGTCATTACTGATCATGAAAGAAATCTTCTTATATATTGTAAAGTGGTAGAGATCGAGAACTGACAACAACAACAACAACAACAACAACAACAAGCTTTATTAACTCTTTGGTTAAGTACAATGATTTTCACCTCCCGCAAATTAGCAGGGCTATTCGAGGCGGGAGGTGACGAAAAACAAATTATAATAAGGGTAGCTAATAGTAGGGTTTTAGTAATAAATAACAAGAAGAAAATTATCAATTTATATAATGGCGTAGAACAAAGAAATTAAAGTAGTAATTTTGTTTCTGTATAAAGTAGAGAAGAGAAAGGAAAACTAACTAACAAAACAAAACTAATCAAACAAAATTAAGAAAGAGATTTAAGGCTATCTATTAATAAAGTTTACTTACCGCGACGTTCTGTTCAGTTCGCTTTGGAAAGTGATGAAAGAACGAAACAATCGCCAGGTGCAGGTGCTCTAGCAAGCGTGAATATTAAATATATGCTACAGGTACAAGGGGGTTTCCCGACATTCCGAAAAAACAGACTGATTATATCATATATTACGTCATGCGATTATTTTGGTAATTTATGTAATTTAAACGTTCAGCGCGAGTAAAACAATTTGTAAGATTCGACGGAGCTTCCGAGGATGTCCGGTTTATTAATATTCAAAATAGCGAATATATAGGCTCGACTAGAATAGTACGTAGTGAATAGGAAATTTATTTGTGAAAGTACTGTTAAAAAATATTTTTTAGCTTAGTTCCTGTTTAAATTCTAATTTGTTATTTGAAATTCAATGTACATATTTTTATCATAATTTTTAGTAGCCATACTCGTTTATTCTATAATGTAATATATTTTAGACTATTTTAAATTTTGTAAATTATATTTTAGACCATTTGAATTTAGATACCTAGGATCGAGGGCCACTAGTTTATCAGTGTTTAACTGTTATGTGTTTTACCCTCGTAAAATAAAGTAGCTTACTTACTTACTTACTTACTTACTTATCAATTTTACCATAACTGTTCAGTGAATCGGCACAAAAAGGAATAAACTGCTGAATTTAAATTGTCACTTATTTATACGTAAAGGACTCTGCATCGTTCTTATCGGCGAGCTGTATACACCTGTAGTTATTCTCGCGAGAAACGAGAACAAGACACGTCTCGTGAGAAACGAGACGCGTTTAGAGATAAACGAGACGCTTCTCGCGAGAAACAAGACGAGATGTGGTAATAACTTACTTTTGAGCGGTACGTTTAGTGCGGATTTTAATATTACAGTATCAAAATTAGGGTTGAGGGTGCTTATTGAAAAGAGGACACTAAATCAAATGATTACCCCCCCTAACGGTAATATTATTACTGGTAACTAGTTCGTTTTCGTTGTTTTCTTTCAGGCTCCATTGAGTCAGACAATGGAAGACGATGGAAGAGCTCACTATAGTCCTACTCTTATAGAGCGATTTTCAGTTGAGTGTCGAAAGTGATCACTGAATTGGACAAAGTGATTAGTTTCTAATGAAACTGTGATGCTGCGTCTCAATTGCTTTGGCTTTAGACTACGAGCTTTGCTTTATTACGCTCTCTGATTGGTTGAAAATAACTCGCGCCACCTACCTAAATATACTCAACCCCCCCCCCCCCCCCAAAAAAAAAAACAATCGCGACTTGGTCACATGCGTTTTCCCGCGCGTGGCGCCGGTTACGTGTATTTGCTTTGAGTTCCCATTGGTTCGTTTCGTCGTTTTCGTTGATTGTGATTGGCCATTGTAATTGCTTTCGTCTTGGTTTTAGACACGCAATTGAAAACCGCTCTTCGACCATTATGGGACGAAGCAATAAATGAACAGAGTTTTCCAAGTTTTATTAAGCTAATAGAAGATGGTTTTCTATGTTCTATATTCTAAATAGAAAACGTTTTCTGAATTTCCATAGATTTATGGTAACACGAGTGAAGTTTGGAGAAAGAGAAATGCTGTGGAAACGGCGAGTGTTTCCACAGCAATTTCGAGTTCTCCCAAGTGACTTTCATGAGTGTTACCATAAATCTATGAAAATACAGGGTAAACGTTTTCTATTGTTTTTTTTGTAATGAAATAAAAGCACGAAGCAATTTGTTTCCATATAGTTATGGTAAATGGTTTTGAGCGAATCAGAGCGCGCGTAGTATCTTGTTTATTTTATAAAAGAAAATGATGCACGCTCGAGGTCTAGAAAAGCAGCTAGTGGATCCACAAGCTGCAGTTACGCCACTCGACTTGTGTCTCGTGGCGTACTTGTTTGTTCTTGTGACGTTTTGACGTCATCTGTACAGCTATTAGAGAACAAACATACGGCCAAAGTAATGGAATCTATTTGTTAAATAATTCATGGGCAGATTCCATGCCGTTTATATGACAGCTATTTTTTAAACTCTAATAAAATCATGGCTTTTTAGCCAATCACAGCATGTTCAGGATCTAATCTATATTATTTTATAAAGCTATATATTAAATAACAAAATGAATTGCATTAATAGCGAGTATTTATAAGCTTTAAGCAGAGCCCAGTCTAGACTTAGAGATCATGGGAACAGGAGCTAAAAAGGAACAATTAAAAATGACATCCCCTCTTGTTTTCGTTTTCCGCTTTCTTTCCCTTTTACATGTATAAACCCCCACTGCCTTTATCTCATTTTCTTCACAATCTGAGAGGTTACAAAGCATACAGTGACTGGGCTGTTAAAAATAATCAATATACATATACATCACCAGTAGCAAGTTATACGTACATGTAAATCTAGCATAGTATGCACACATTGCATACCTATGATGCTAAATATTATTTCTGACAACACCTTATATAGTGAGCTAAATAAAATAATAGTCCCTTTACTAGAAAAAAAAGCTGTATTTATTAAACTGGATTGACAACAGTGTTTTTATTTTTACTGAATACGCTAGGAAATGTCTACCTGCCAGACTGTTTACCAGGCTGTTTACAAAAGATAAAATATATAAAATACAGGAATAATTCATTATACATGTAAGTAGAGAATAAAATAAAAATCAACAGAAAATATACAATATATATGAACAGTGACCAAAGTAGCTTACGCTTTCGAGTTGGTTACTGACACTACAGATACCCCAAACCATATATCAAAGTAAAGCTTAAAGAACTGGCTATTTGAATACAGCCAACTCTCTCTAAAGCTCTAGTTGTCCACCTTAGAGAGGTGTCTCTCCTAAAGAGAGTTTAGTTACAGACAAACAAGTCAACTCGGCCGGGACCAGCCAGCCATGTCCGCCTTAGGGAGGTGTCCGCCTTACAGTGGTGTCCGCTTAGAGGAATTGACTGTGTGCCAATAGTTTTTAGAAAATGAATTGTTGAGTTTTCCGCGAAGTCCAAATTTGAAGGGAACTAAATCACCTTTGGAAAGTTTCAACTCGAAGCGATTTTTGAATTTCGGGAATTTGATTTTTTTTGCTGGAACTCCGGTACCCAAGGGCTAAAAAAGCGTGTTTTGGTTTTGCTATATTCGATGCGTTCAAAAGTTACAGAACTTTTTCAAATTAGCGATAAAAAAAAACAAGGAGTGACCGCACGGAAATGACTCTCAACGAACTAATTGTAGAATTACCGCAGTTCCGGACCACTTGCTAGCGACTCTCCCAATTTGATTGACATTGAACAATTTAGAGAAAACAGCGCTTATGCTGTCAATCAAATTAAAAGAAACGTCTGGTGGTAAAAGGTTTTATCCTAATTTCTCGGCGAATATTTACTCCTTCTACTTTCTATCTGAGGCGATATTGTTGTGCTGGGAAAATAACACCCCCCCCCCCCCCCCCGACCCCACCTCTTTTGGAGCAAGACATTTATTAAATGACCAGCTCCCAGTTGACTTGATAGCTCAGTTGGTAGAGCACTGCACCGGCCGGTACCGCAGAGGTCATGGGTTCGAATCCCGTTCAACCCTGAATTTTTTTCAAGCTTTTTTTTCTTTTCATAACTGCGATGGTCTTTCATGTATTAAATATTCCACCCGCAATTCACTGAATGAAATTACTACTGCTGGCTTTTTGTAAATTTTGAACTATTTAAGGTTTTCTACACTCTTTTGTTTTTTGTACGAATATTATTTTTAGGAACATCGAGGCTGCGATTGGCGAAATTTTAAGAATATGCTAAGAATATACCCAAGGCTGAGATTTAGTTCAGAATTTTTTTTTGCAATTTCATATTACGGGTAATCGGAAATTCTTTAACTCGCTGGCTCATGAGGACTTAACACATTTTATAACACGATACAGACACCATGCAATACTATTTCATGGTTTTCCTGGTCACATCCGTATAAATATAATTACTGAAATACTATATTAAGAATATTTTCAGCCTAAAATGGGCAGAAAAATAGCAATATTCAGCTTGGGCGTGAAAAATATATAAATATCCTTACAAAAAAATAGTGCATTTCTGTGCAGACTCATACTTAGTATACACCCACACAAAACTGTATAATTAGCTGGTAACATTATCATAAATTACTTACAGAAGAATTCACCGTACAATAATGTAATAAAAAACGTGAGAATAATTTTGACGAGGCGATTACCGTAAAAGCTCTATTACGCCCCCGGAGGCCTTATTTAATGTCAGGCCTCAAGAAGGGAGGGGGAGGGGGGGGGGGGTATTAGAGAGGGGGGCTTAATATAGAGGGGGGTTTATTTCAAATCATAAATATTCTAGAAAATTCACATTAATTTTTCAAACTTTACTATTACACCACTAACTAAAACAGAACAAGAAATGGGTTATGTATCACCGTCTTACAAATGCAATGTCATTCATACTCTAACTCAACGGTAGTTCTGAAAATTAAAGGCCATGTTTCAATCATTGACTGAAACAACAAAATATTACGGAAAATACATTTTTACATCAATCTGACACAAGGGGGGCCTTAATAGAGGGCTAAACAGAGCTTTTACGGTAAGTGAATTATTGTATAATTACTATTCACTTCAAGTACAAAGGCTTGTAATTAGCTGTTTTATAAATGAACAGGAGAGTTTAACAGTGGAATGTGTTTTATAACTTAATTGCTTCAGTTGCACTGAACGTGACTGTACACGACTCTTGCCTAAGGCTTTGCCCATTTTATAAGCTGGTCTCCGATTAATTATACAAGAAAGGCCACGAATACACTCTATGTGACTGAGCGATGGAAAATTGAAAAATGTGAAAGTGTAACAAATGATGAAATTACTGGCCTGCGTGCAGACGTCTCCTGTTTCCTTTGCTTCACGGAGACGTCTACATACAGGCGAGTAAATACAAGTCCGCAAATCTTAAAACTAATCAGCCGACCAAAATCAGAGTTTCAACTCCATTGTTTGTATCTTCCTGTTCACTTCCTTTCCCTCGTAATAATTATTTTGATTGTCAAGGTAATAATTAAATAAATTTATGTTTGTAAAAAAAGACACTATATGTGACTGAGTACATGTAAATAACCGTTATAAAAAATGTTATGAAACAAAGTATTTACAAACTGTCAATTGTAACACATTGTCAGGTCGTCATTGCTTGCTTTAAGTCTGGATCTAGTCCTTTATTTGATCATGGCTTTCTTTGTAAAACACTAGCAACAAAAGAAAAAGATAAAACACAATGTAATGAAAAAGGTGTTACGATTGTATAAATATTGTGGTACGTTCGTGACTTCTGTACTGAGTAAAGACAGTATGTATCTTAGGCGCCACTTCTCTTCCGTCTTCCCAGCCCGGGGGGAGGACACCCATGTGAAAGGGGCGGGGATGCTTGTCGGAAAATTAGTGTGAATTAAACCCCTAAAGGATCGGAGGCCAATCTGGGCGTGGTTCATTTGCTTCATGTCATGCCTGATCGGTGTAGACCATGCACCAACACAGTATGAGGACGTTTTACATTTCTTCGCGTGCAACCCTAAACGATACATTGATGGCTAAAATTATTGGCGTTTTGTCCTGAACAACCTAAGTGATACCAAAATCCGTAATTTGCACCCGGAATGTACACCCCTAACAGAGACATTCCCGCCTCTTTCGCATGGGAGTCCCCCACCCCATCCATGTTCAAAGCCCGAAACTGCCGAAAGGCTATGTTTCGCAATACAGAAGCCCTTAAAAGAAACCACTATTAAAAATTATACAAGTACTGTATAAAAAAACATAAATTAAGTAGAGTGGTCGCGGCATACACGGAGATAGCATTAGAGGGAATGGAAATAATTCCCGTGCATATGAAGACGGGCACCGTGCATGCTAGCCTGTAGTACAGGCCGTATTTTGGGCGAGCGAGCAATGAATATTCCATCGAGTGTTTATAAGCCGCCATCTTGGATTGGGAAACATTGAGGACTGGGGCGAGTAAAAAAGATCGGACAAGGGAGTAGAAATCAGGCAGAAAGGAAAATGAGGGGGTTGGGGAGAGGGAGATTTTCCCCCCTTCCCCGCCTCTCTTCCCCGCCCACCGAACGAGATAAACCATCACTCGCCCACAAAACACTTGCATTGCAGGCAACATGCCTGCAGCAGATCGCCGTCTCAAAAGAGATGAGTAACATCGCACGGGTAACATGGAGCACAAGCTGAGATTCCGGGTATTTTAGAAATGCAGTTGAGCGTATCCTCTTCAATTCTAACAACTCAGCTCACTGATAGAATTGGTGTTATCTTGTCCGTTGTATGAGGCTAATTCAGTGCCATAAGGTAACAATAAAGTTAGAATGACACGAAACCTGCGGTGTAATTGTTTCTTTGTTCCTTTAACAAAATCTAAATTATAATTATTATCTCGCACAGTTAGTTGACTTCTTAAAACCCAAAATATGAAATGTTTCTTCTCTAAATTAACAAAAGAGTAAAGTCTGTCTACAAGCCAATTCAAGTGGTTTATCATGTAACACCAGTGCCAATAGCATGAAGCGACCTGGAGTATCGCTACTCCCCCTGGTTGGGATGCTGGTCCATTGCAGGTAACCCCCCAGCATTTTGTCAGATTGCCCTGGTAATTGATCGGTCCCATTTACTCCTGGGCAGAGAGGCACTGGAAGAGTGAAACATCTTGCCTAAGAACACAATGCCCCGGCCAGGGCTGGAACCCGGACCGCTCCATCCGGAGTCCAACATTAGACCACCTAAATTAAATTAACTAAATTATCCTTACCTTTATTTTCCAAATTCAAATGTCACGTTATCTCCAATCAGCATGAAAGGTGCCCAGTCGCAAACCTTAGGATAGCCGTTAGCTTTCATCCACTTTATGGCCTCGTGAAGGGATTCACTGGCACTTTCCCCACGAGCAAGGTGCTCGTAGAAACGACTTATCAACTGCTCTGTTGCTCTGTCTTCCAGGGCCCACAATACCACCAACACCGAGCGTGCACCGGATCCTAAAAACGCTCGAGCGATTCCAACAACTCCCTCTGCTTTGATCTGTCCTTGTCCACTGTGACAACAGCTAAGTACTACCAGTTTGGCCCGCAGTTTGCACTTGTGAAATGTCTGACATTGTCAATAGGTAGTCTTCTTCTTGTGGAATAGGATGAGTGGTGCGTAAAGGGGATAGGGCAATTTCTCCTCTTTCGGCGTTGCCATGAGCAGCAATGTGTATCAGACTTACTGAATGCAACCTTTGAAGTACCGCCTGCTTTGTTGCCTGCTCTCCTAGCAAAGGCTGGACACCAAGCATTCCTCCAATCATCTCTGCTTCTTTTCTTGCAAAAGGCAATGGTTTGAAGTTTTCAAGACATCCCTTGTAAAACACCTGACCAACCTTAGGATCCCCCACTATCAGTGCACCAGTCTGACTGTGATAGTCTGCTGGACTGTTCTGAATGAGCTTCAAAGTCGTCAAAGAAGGAACAATGCGGATCCTGAAAGTCTCTGATAAATACTTCCCACTTTCGTCAGTTAATGCTGCAAATGGAACTTGGTATAAGGAGCGATCAGGAACGATGATGATTTCGGGCCCCTCAAGTAAGTCAGCCACAGGAGCGATGATCATTCTGTAAACTGACGAATGAAGAATCGGTTCGGAAAGTTGGCTTCCTTCTTCGTCAGCCTCGAAAAGTCGCAAATCTGATGAGCTTCCTTCCTGGGATGACGTCAATTTGGGTTGAATGACATTTAAAGATCGATCTTCGCAATCATTCTCGGGTAAAATACCGAAGCCGCGGAAGCTTTTACCGAAAAAATCATCCAAATCGGAAACTGATCCGACGTGAGGAAAGTCTTCATTGACTGCTATTTCTCGGAAACGTAATGACTCCGCTTGTTCTAAGAATCCACAAGAAAATATTGTTATCATAATAGGCGATGTACAGACAAGTACAGTTACTTTCTTTCTTCATGATACTTTCAATGCCAACCCACGATTGCGTATCAGATGAGATTTGCTTTTCAGCACAGTACTGAGAAGTCATCAAGTCTGCCAGGGCTCTAGCCCGTCCTAGCTCTACAACATAAAGAGCCTTAACAGTATTCCCAGTGGCGCAACACAATGCAGTAAGAAGTTGGTAGGGAGAAATGTGAAGATCTGAAAAAGATATCTTAAATTGATCGTTGTCTACAAGAAAATTTCGCAAATCTTCGCATTTGTCAATACTTTGAAACAGACAGCGAGATACTTCCTGGATTGGTTTTCTTTGCGATAACTTCACCAATGAAAGTATGCAAAGGCAGGATAACTCTGTTTGACGATCACCGATATATTTACTTATAGAGAGTGCCTTCTCGAGATTTTCTTCAGCCTTGCCATGTTCACACAGAGATTGAAACACACTTCCAAGGTTTGCGTAATCTGCTGCTTCTCCTTCTCTGTCGCCGATGACTTTTCTGATCGCAAGTGCTTTCTCGTGATATTCCTTAGCCTTGAGATATTCACCGAGAGAATAAAACACACTGCCTAGGTTTCCGTAAACTGCTCCTACTC